GGGGGGGGGGGGGGGGGGGGGATGCTGTTCCAGAGGGCAGGTGCTGTGAAAGAGAAGTCAGGAGTAAGACTCCCAATTTACTGGGAAGTAAACCATTAAGGAAATACCTAAGATTTTCCTTCCATGGCAAGTAAGATATAGACCACCCTGTGCAACTTACTTGGTAGGAAGCCTATGAATATACTGAGGATGAAAGTGTTATTCATTTCTGAATAAACAACCATGGATAAATTTGTTTAATAAATAAATAAATGTGTTAACTGAATGTAGCTCATCTGGTTAAGATGTAGTATAATTATCATTTTGCAGTGTTCTGCTAGCTAAGCATATGCTGTGGATTGCAAAAAAACAAAATCCTTTCAACAAAAGAAGGTTTACTTGCCCACGCCTATGTGTTTTTACTCTGATTCACAGTTTAATTAAGCTGCAGTAGTTAGGTGACACATCAAGTTGGGGTTGCCTCTTAGTGAGCATACAGACAAATGCTCACCTCCTCAGACTATCTCCAATACTAGTCACAGCTCTTCCAAATGCCATCCTGTAGGGTTTTTTTACAGCGTCCGTCAATCTTACCTGGTATCCTCCCCCTTTTATCCTTTTCTAAACATAGTTGTTTCATGTTCATCATCTGTTTGCATCTCATGTCCAAGTGGTATGAATTCCTACGCACTAGTCACTGCCTGAAGGGAGCAGTCAGCCTTTACTTGTCCCAGGATTGATTGCTGGTTCTTCTTGCAGTCTGTTGTTCTTATATGAACCATCTCTAGATTACAAGGCATTTAACTTCTTTCTCTGACTTTTACGTAATGCCCAGCTTTCATAGCTGAATGTTATCACTAGAAAATAATTGCTTTAGCTTTTTTGATCTTTGGGGACATCCTTCATGATCTTGCCTAAATCTATCATTGCCTTCCTTTCCAGAATATCCCTCCCCTGGCAGGTTGTCCATCTTTATCTACTACTGAGCCCAAGAAAATAAAATTATCCACCAACTTCACTTCTTGTCATCCACTATGCATCCACTAAGCATTACTGTTCTTAATATTTCACAGAAACCCAGGTATTGCTTTTCCCACTTTTACTTTCATAATGAGCTCTTTTAAAATGTCCTTTTCTTTTGGCAAACAAAGTAGGGTTACCGACATATTTTAAATTGTTAATGTTTCAGCCTCCTATTTTGCTAATAAATTTGTTGTAAATTTATTTTTTGTTGGAAGTGAGTCTTGTCTTGCCTTCCTATTCTGAACTCTTTCAAATTCAGTTCATGCAGTACTTTCTTGTACATTGTAAAAGTACTTCCAGAAAAAATACTATATATGTTCTGACATGAACTACAAGCTTTGCTGTAGTTAATAAAGCAAAGATAAACCATCTTTGTATTTTACTTTATTCTATAAAGTAGAACACACCATCTTACATTAGCTCTCTGTTCTATCTGTTCATGGGTCCCTCTGTTTTTTCTGACACCTGCCTATTCATTTGGCATTTCTCTGTCCCTATATGGCTTCTTTGTAAGACACTTGTTTGCATGAGAAATTAGTGCACTGGTTCAGTAATTTGCACATTCTGTGCCATACATATAATCTTTTCCTGTCTCTAGGCCATATAGTGTCTGTGTTGAAATAAACTGAATAGCAATTTAGCAGCATTTCATCCTGTAGCTTTAAACAATTTAGTGGTTACTTGATCTGCAACCATGCTTTCCTACTTGACTGCCTATTGTACTTCACTTTTTTGTGGGATGATTTCTGAATATATTCTCTTTCTGTCATTCTATAATCCTGTCCATAAACAGCTTGAGTAAAGGGTTTTCTTTTAATTTCCTTCAATCACACTTGTCTCTATTGGATTCTTCCACAATTATTCTTGAGCATTCCTAACTATGATGCAAGCCTCCTGTGATTTCTCTTATCTTCTTATTTTAAAAGTATCTCTCAGTTTATTTTCCTCTATTAGCTGACATTTTTACTCAGATAAGTTTCTTTGTCTTTTATAGCTTGATACCAGAAGTATACATTCAGTTGATATATATACTTTTTCTTGCCTAAGGATAACTTGTTCTGAAAGCAACTTGAATCTTTTCAGTTTGAGAATATTGTTTTTCCTCTTTAGTTTTCACAGTGTCCTTAACTTTCTTCATAGCTCCTCACCTTCGGTTTCACATAAACTAAGTGTGCTGAATATTATATTTTGATTGCTTGTCCTCTAAGTCTCATTTTATTGGCATTCCTACTCTTTTTAGCTTTCCAGGTTTAGCCCATATATTTTGATATCTGTAATTTCATGGTCTGTTCCACAGTCTGTCCCTAGTAGTGCCCTGGATGACTGGATTGCATTTATCTATCTTTTGTTTTATATTATATAATCTATTTGATTCTGATGTTGTATATCCAGTGACACCCATCAGTCGAGTTATTGACACTGTTTAAAGCAGGTGTTGACAATAAATAAAGAATTATGTTCTATTAATGTATTTACCAGGTCTAAATATTTCATTATTTCAGGTTCTTCCATTTCACCCATTTTTGCCTAACAAACACCAGTTAGTAATATTTCTTGATAGTGTATCTAGCCACATAATTTCTCAATATTTTCTTCTACCAGGTGTATCATAAAACCTGTTGTTCATTGGGTTATGACCAAGCATCTTTTTGGGCTATTGTTGCCACTCCATTCTTTCATATGGTTTTATGACCTCAATAATTTAATCATGTGAGTTAGAGTGGCCCATTGTGGTTCACTTATGCTTACTTCTCCCTGCTTTATTTCCCCTTTGACGATTTAAGTTTTTCTTGCTCATGTTTCCTAAATTCCTTGTTTTAATTTTATGTTTCCTTGTAAAGTAAGGAATTCTTTAATTGCTAGCACTATCAGTGACCAGACTTTCTTATAGCTGGGCATGTCAACATTTCTAGATCAATTTTTGGAACTTCACAGTTTTTTCCTAGTAAGTAGAGGAGTTCCTCTGTCCTAGGGTCTCGTCATCTGACACCCAACCCAGCCATATCCAGAAAGTTTTATTGGCAGGAACACAGAAGCAGTTTTCCACTGTCTTCTTCCAGTTTGATTTTAGAATTCCTTATCTTAAGTAGGTTGGCTTCAGTATACAATGCAGAGTCCCACCTGTTCTCATCTCTATTGTGGATTACTCTTAGCTTCACCCCTCCCAGTTTAACTTTAACAACAAGGATGACCCTACCAGGAGCTGATGTGGGTGATTGTTGATTATATGCATCAAGTCAATGTCAATTCTTAGTAACCTCAAAGACCAATACTTCTTGAGAAGAAACTATCCACAATTTGACCTTTCAAGTCTTCCACAGGTGCACCTATCACTGCTGTAATCAAGTCTGTCCATCTTGCTATTGGTCATCCTCTTCTTCTCTTTCCTTCTGCCATTCCCAGCATTCTAGATTTTTCAAGATCTTTGCATAATATGTCCAAAATATGATAATTTGAATCTGGTCATTTGTGCCTTGAGTTAGAACTCTGAATTGATTTGTTCTATGATCATTTGTTTTCTTGAGTATCCATGGTATTCTCAGAAATCTTCTCTGACATCAACATTAACAAATATAAATACTCTTTCTATCCTGCTTCCTCAGTGACCAAGTTTCATTTCCATAGAATATCCCAGGGAAAACCACTGCCTGTACAATTCTGACCTTTTCAGGTAAAGACATATTCCAGCAACTGAATATCTTTTCCAACACCTTTATTGCTACTCTGCGGAGTGCTAGTCTTCAGCATATTTCTTGACTGCTGGTTCATTTACTGCTATCTATCTACCACTTC